ACTGGTATGGATTGTTGTTTTAATTATATTATGTATTTATAATTTTTTCTTTTTTTAAAATATAGTGTGTAGTTTTAGAATGTACTAAGCAGAATCCGAATGAAAGTTATGTATTAAAAATAAGTGTTAAATTTGGGGGAAAGATATAAAGGCGTCGTACTCCAATCAATGATTACAGGAGAAATTTTGTGTTAATGAGAAAAGATAATAGACAGTTGAAACAGGACAGACAAAGGATATAATGATTTAAATTGAGATGAAATAAATAAAATAGAATTAAGAGAGTGAAAAGAGGGGAGAAGCTATATAGAAAATCTAGAATGGTAATAAGATATGGAATGGTATATAAAAGTGAACATGAACTTGAATTTATGTCTGTATGAAGAGATGTAACCCGGGATCAAGCTGCTTTCAAAAAAGATGTTTTAAGTTTTATGTTTTGTGTTTGTTTTTTAAAAATTAATAAAATGTTTGGAAAAAAAAAGAGTACTGGCTGGGGAATTCTGGGAATTGAAGTCCACGCAGCTAAAAGTTGCCAAGGTTGAGAAATATTGGCTTGGAGCCTTGCCATAGCTAAACATGATCCTGCATTGCACCTTTAGTTAATGGGAGTGTTTGGAGTTTAAAGGATAATAGACATATCTGCAATTACAATTATATTGATTCAAAAATTGACACGATGGAGTAAAGCCAGACCTTAAATCTGATTTAAAAAAACAAACCTGTTGTATGGAAGATTAATGGGATGATAAAATGAGTTTTTATAAGTTTTTATCTTAATTTCTTTTTTGCCACCCACGGGGTGTATTTACAATTACAGTGTCTGCTGGGGAAAAACTATATAGAAAATGTAAAATAGTATAAGATATGGAATAGAATACAAAAAGGAGCATGAAATTGAGTTTTGTGTCTGTATAAAGAAGTTCAACCCGGGACCATGCTATTTTCAAAAAAGATGTTTTACTTGTATTTTGTATGTGTTAAAACCCAAATAAAACTTTATTATAAAAAAACAATTACAGTGTCTGCTGACATTTTGATTTGGAACAGATGCTTTAGAAACATGTAATTAGTATAAGTGGTCACTAAAACCTATGGGTTTTTATAAATACTCACAATAAATAAATCAATTTGACATGTAACTTTTAAAGAATTTATGGAGCAAAAAATTGGAGCTCCCCTTTTCCTTAAACAATAATAAATTGTCTTAACATCTGTATCAAAATTTTCAAAAGATATTTTTGAAGATATTTTTAAAAAAATACTTTTTTTGATTTATTGGACTATTTTTATTCCGTTATTCATTTTCTTGGCCAGAGTACAGCATAAATATGGGAGGGCAATGAGTATTTTATTTTTCTTGGGGAAATTCATTCTCTGACTTGTTTGTTTGATCAATAACCCTCTTTCTCCAGAAACTGAATACAGCTTACATAAGAGTTGCCTTTTATTTTGTCTCCCACACTACACACCTATGAGACAGGTTGGGCAAGCAATAATTTAGGACTTGTTACATAATAGAATCCCATAGATGAGATTATGTAGCCTTTGAACACGTTTCAAGGTAAATATGAACCAGAATATATGAAGAGCCTTGGTGGCGCAGTGGTTAGAGTGCAGTACTACAGGCTACTTCTTCTGACTGCCAGCTGCCTACAATTTGGCAGTTCGAATCCCACCAGGCTCAAGGTTGACTCAGCCTTCCATCCTTCCGAGGTGGGTAAAATGAGGACCCAAATTGTAATAGGCTGACTCTGTAAAACCGCTTAGAGAGGGCTTGTTAAATCACTGCAAGGCAGTATATAAGTCTAAGTGCTATTGCTATTGCTGTTGCTAAGGGATATTTGAGATTAGGGATTTTATATCTCTTTCATACAACTGTTGTGCCTTGATTGCAAGACTTGGACAAGTTTAGCTTTATTTATTCATTGACATACAAGTTGCTTTTCTTCCAAAGCTACTCTTTCATGTGATTCTCACAAAAAACACCCTGGGATAGTGGCTGGTTCAAAGTCATTTGGTGAGGTTCTGAGGACAGATTTGAAAGTTTTCAAGCCTGGGCTGATATCAGAATCAGTTGTGTCCAGGCTGACTCTCCTTATACCAATGTGATTCTATGTATACTAAGGTAGCGATCACATTGATTCCATTGGTCTGATTCTGAAGGGCTTTCCCAAGTCTTTCTAATGCCCTGAATGCAAAATTATGTTTTCCTCTCCTCTTCAACAATTGGCTATTTTTTACATCAGCAAACAGCAACCTGGGCTATTCAGTTGTTTGGAAAACAACTCCGTAAATCCTGACCAACAGAGATTATGGCTATTGTTATCAAAAGTATCAGGAAAATAACAAGTTATAAGAGAACCAGTTTGCTCTAGTGATTAAGACACTAGGCTACAAACTGGGAGGCCGTGAGTTCTAGTTCCGCTTAGGCATGAAAGTCAGCCCAAAACACCTCACAGGGTTGTTGTTGTGGGGAAATAGGAGGAGGAGCGTGTGTTGGCTATGTCCACCTTGAGTTATTTGTAAAAATAACAATACAAATAAATAAATATAAACTCCTAAGAAGAAAAAACTTTTTGAAACACCAATAATGATACCCAACCAATGAATGTCAGATACTTTATATAAAACAATGTCCTTTGTCAGCTAGTTTTTCAGCACACCCATTATCAACAGTAAAAAGCTATGTTCTGTGGATTGTAAATTGGTTTCTCTTCTTGTTCTCCTGAAATGTTACGATGCTTCAATCTCTCATCTTGTCTAAGTGACTCCAACAGAAGATACTGATTTACCCCTTTTTAGCATTTTTTAAAAATGTGCTTGCCAGTTTTGAGGCCCTATTTTACCTGCTGACTGAATCAGAATACATTCATTGTCATTCTCTGAGAAGGTTGCTTTAGTTTAGACTTTCGTAACAGCACCATAATCCTTCAAACAAGTTTTGTATGCAATACATTTTATTTATTGAGATCAAATAATTATACTACAATATTAATTTATTCATGGAGCAACCTTACATTGGTTACAACAATCATATAACTGACTACGCTGTTTTATGCTAAAAGATGCTTTGAACATTTACAGCTGATACAATGATATTATAGACAGAAATACTTTTGTTTAGAAATGCAGATGTTCCAGGTTTATGGTATATTCTCCTGTAGGCTGCAAATAGAATAAGAAAAAATGACCCTTGTTTATGTACAGACTTCAGCATGTATGCAAAATTGGCAGTTTTTAATTGTTTCTTACTCCAGGTATGAGCTGCTCAGTCTGATAAATGTAGGGCATGGTAGAGATCCATTTTTTACCCTCCTCTTATTCCTTACAATAGATGCCACAATCACTGCACAGAGATACACATTTAGACTGCGGGGCCCTTAATGCTCTCTGAGCTTGGTTGTTTTCTTGTAGATGTTACCCAGCTAGGTAACATCACCAGTACTAGAAGGAAATGGAGTTTGCTTTCACTTTACATACAAGTGACATTTAGACTGGTTAGCTAACACATGTTTTGTTCAATTTGTAAGGTAGCTTCCTGCAAAAAACAGCCAAGGACCTATCTCACAACAATGAAGGCAAAGTTCAGACTGCCTTTTTAGCAGTGGGAACTCCATGCTACGTATCTGGGATCTGTCTGTAGCTAGAATAAAGAGAAGATTAAGCTTAGCAAGATTTAACAAAAGTTTGATTCAGTTCTCTTGACATGATTCTGTTTTCTTGCCATTGATTCTGATCTCTTTCATTCAATTGTTGAAAAGAATGTTTTACCTTGTAATTATTATATATAGTTTGAGATCAACTGGATCTCTAAGATAATCATATTCCCTACTAAGACATGGCTGTGTCTTTTTCATTGTTAAAATCCTACTTCTGGTAGCACCAAATTCAACAGTCAGCAGAATGTCTGATCTGAATAGAAGTCGAGAAAGAAAAACTTTCCTCAACAGTGATGACAAAATAGGACACATTTTTCTGTAATGTTTTGCAATAGCTGTATTGTGTAGTTGTGTCATTATTTGCACCTCTGTTATCCTAATAAAATAAATATAAATACCTTTGTAAAGATGTAAACACAGTTACTTGGTCCTTATATTATATCCATATTGAATCACACAACTTCAACATAAATATGGCTCTAGGAACAAATACTGAAATTAATAGGCAGAAAACAGTTGAACAGTGATATGTTTCAAAATTTCCTTTCAAGGAAAAATATTTTTGTTAAATACACAATTCAAATTTTGGGTAATTGATCCAACTATATAGAATAAATAAATTAGTCATATATACATTATCTAAAATGTTACATTAGCAAAACAATTAAATACGAATGGAGAAAAGTTCCATGTTCACAGTCATAATATTCTCTTGTGAAAAATATGTGATTTCATGCACTTAGACACACAACTAACATTCTAATGAAGAAGAATATCAAATAACTATTTTAACCTGTAAAAAATATCAAATTGTATAAACTAGCAGTCAAATAGCAATGGGGAAAATTTAGGAGATATAGCGCATGCTTTGTGCTACATAGAGTAATCTTCAGAAATCATAGGAAACCTATTTTGCCTCATCCAAATGCAGAAGAAAAGCTAATGTTAACTTAATTACATTATGCCTATTTTAACCTACAGACTGAAGGCTACAAAACATTCTAATCATACATGTACAAAACTACTGTAGGGGTATTTATACCATACGTATAACAATTAGAGACTTCATTTCACCACTGTGATGAACACATAGTCATCATCACCACTGTCGTCTTCTTCTTCATCATCATCATCACTACCACCTATGGGGGGGGGACTTCATCATTCACAAACAAACAAGAGCCACAACTCACCTCCAGCAGTTCATATTCACAGACCTTGGATTAGTTCAAACTTGTCATCACATTAATCTACAAACACTCAGAAATGTGCTATCATCACCATGTTTGAGCTTTCTACAAATGATCAGCGTTAAGGGCTCTCAGAACTCTGTGGTTGCTACATTTGATTAGTAAATGAAGTCGGGCCACTCTGTTGTTGCTGGCCAAACTCATCAACTTGGCCATAATTAGTTTGTTGCCCAAAATTGTCTTCCTGTTGGTTATACCCACCACTCGACCCATAGCTATCTTGATTGTAGCCACCTTGGTTATAGCTGCTGGACTGTTTCTCGAGGGTTTCTTGAGGATACCTTGAACCCGAAGAATGCCAACCAGTCTCCTTAAAAACAAACCAGATATTTCCTGCCCAGAGAACAAAGTTCAAGAATCCAAAGACCTAAACAAAAAAGACATTACATTTCATTTAGGGTATTTTTTTCTCTGTCTCTTTTGATTATTCACATGATTGAGATTCTACTTTTAAAAAAATTCCAAAGACAACTTATTAATTCAAGGTATTTTTGCTCAGAGAACCTTCCAAAGATGTGGTTAAAACAAATATGAATCTGTTGGTCCTGTAGTAAGGTATAAATATAAACGAACAATAATAAACTGAAAACAGTTTGCAGCTTTCATTTAGTAGGTGATCTACAAAAAACTAATGGAAAGACGAGTTTTATTCTTTGATGTTGGATCTGTGGCTTCATGATGTTGTTACCAGAGGCAGTCAATCATTTATTTTTTCCTAAAGTAATTTTTTGCAGTGCCATAAATATTAGCTATTTATGGCCTCAGATGATTAAAAGGACCTTTTTCTCCAAATTCTCCATAATATCTGAAGAAATTTATTTTATATTCATACCACTAGGATAAATACACTTTGATTGTTAAATACAACCAGAATGATGCTCGTGCCGTTATTATCTTATTATCCTTTGAAGAATCAATGAATTAGATAAAATATGGTGGATTCCAACTGAAGGGTGAGAAAAGACAAATGCTGAGTGATTCTGTAGGGCACCAATCATTTTATTTCAGAACCCTCGTTGTTGGGGGGTTTTTTACAAAAAAAAAAAAAAAAAAGGAATACTCACAACTGAAACATTAAGACTTGACATAACAGGGCTGTACACAGGCAAGCACTTGTTGGATTGTTGTTTGCAAGCTGACATCAGTAAGAGTACTTCATCTGGGTCAGTGGCAACCTTCACATCAGATAGACCTTTAGCCCAAGCAGAAGAACCCACAAGCCACATGAAGGAGAACACCACTGTCACAACGAAATCCTGCAAAACCCAAATCAAACATTGCAGGTTCATGTTTGACAGGCAGAGAAAAGCATGGAAGGAAATTGGTGCAATATGAATGCAAAAGGCCAGAAGGACAGTTCCGCTTGATAGAAGAGTCTCAGAATGCATAAATCCCATGTCTAAAAGTATACACACACATTAGTATTTTCCTACCTATGAAAATTATACATGTGCTCCTGATGTGGAAGCTCAATACATGCTGGATGAAATGAGCCAGAATTTGAACCTGGTTCAATTCTCAGCTCAACAATCTTCAGGGGGAAAAAAGGGTGTTCTTTGTCAGATGGTTATAAAGAATCTCATAGTCTCATAAAAGATCAGTCAAGATGGGTGGAAACAATCTCTCCCACTCAAAAGAGATTGATTTCTAGTCAATGGGATGAGGGAAAGAGATATATGAATTTGAATTTCAATATGACTATAAATAGGCCTTGCATTTCATACGCAGCAGCCTTCTTTTTCTTTACTTCCTCTTTTACCACTTCCGATGTTGAGGAAGGTACAAGTTTTGGTTCTTGCACTTTTGGCAGCCTCAACCATTGTTATTTGATGCTGCTGTAGTAGTCTGTGTCTTTGAAATTGATGTTGTCTCTCCATTTTCTTCTGGATCTCCCTCATGTTCCTCGGCTCTTTCTATATATGCCTTGTATAGTATATAGAACCCAAGGCAATTGACAACTGCTTCTCCAAGTCCAGCCCCATCTCCATGTCATAAGAGGTGGTAACAGGACAAGGTAAGGGACTCATAAGATTGGGCGAAGCATAGTCTTGTGCCACATGATTGCTACGGCAGCCATGAAAGCCATACCTGAGTCACCTGAATGGCCTGACTAAAGGGCCTCTGGTGAAGTTGTGACAGGCCCAGAAAGCTGCAATGGATAATATATTGCTACAGAAATTACAAGGAGACACACACCAGACACTGGGTTCTTTTTTCATAATGGCTTATTTAGCTTTTCTACAATAAATTTACTGATTGGAAGCTTCTGAGCCCTTGAATTCCTTGTATCCAGTCCAGTTTGCGAGGAGAAGCCTAATTCCTTCTTAAGTCTGGATAGTGATTCCCTGAGGAATCACAGTATGTGGAGCACCTTCTCCAATCTGGTACTAGATCTGATAAGTGTACAACTCTCGACATTCCCAAGAGTCTTTGGCCAAGACCTCTGGACAGTCATAAGTTGACAAACACTTCTAGGGTCAACATATGAGATGTGGACTTTTCTTTACCAAGAGAAAGAAATATTGGAAGTTGCCTTATCCTGAGACTGAGATTTGGTTCCATCTAAAGAACATAGGATACACTGATTGGTAAGTTACTTTCCACTCAGTTTCATGAAGGTACTTCCATCTCAATCCTATATGGAAAATAAGTTTGGAACAGCTGGATAGCAGCTATAAGATTAGCCTTCAATGGAGTTAGCTAGAGGGACAAAGATGCCGGTGGAATCCTATTGTCTACTTTAATGTTGTGCAAAATATAGCATATTTTATCACTTTTAATGGTAAATTTTAGTGGATTTTCTTTTCTCCTGGTCCAGCCACTTCCAGGCTACTTTCAAATTTTACCTTTTTTTTTTTTTTTTGGCCAGCTTCTCAAGTCAGATTAAATTTGCTTCTATCCCTGTTCCATCCCATTTTCAGGGAATTATCCTGCTCTTGGCCAGATGGCAGAGAGGCAGAGTCCTGAGCCTCTTGAGATGATTTCATTCTGAGATGCCATTAAGTTGCACATTAAAAAAATATATGTTGGAAAATTACACGGATAATGAGTTTGCATCCCATATACTCCCAGTTAATCCCTATATCTAAATTAGAGCAAAGACAGACATCACTCAGTTCAATTAGCAAAAAAAGTAGCTTGATTTTTAATTATTGCACATCAAAAATAACTACAGTGGAACCTCGGGTTGTGAATGCTCCTGTTCACAACCAAATCAGATGGCGAACAAAAAATCTACCTGATTTTTGAATCGGGTCACGGTTCAAAAATCGGGTGGCGAACAAAATCGGCCTGGAAAGATTAACTTTCTGCACTGATTTCCCCTTCAGCGCCATTTTTGAGTGCACGCATGTGGAATCAGTTGTGCTTCCCGACACGACCAAATCGGGTCACGACTGGAGTCCGGGAACAGATTAGGGTTGCGACCCAAGGCTCTACTGTAACTGTCTAATAAAGAATAAATGGTGGACAAAACAAAAGGACACAGAACTTTCCAGTGAGACAAGAAATAATACTGTGGATAATTAACATGGACACACCCAAAGGGAGTGACCTTTGTCCATTTTCGCTGTAACCATATAATGTTCATAATAAATGACAGTCATACAGAGCTGGATAGTGGGACATCAGGTGATCCCTCTATTCTGAAGCATGAAAGAAGCAATTTGTTGGACTGAGATGAAGTATCCAACAAGCATCTAGGTGTTGTTACCCAAGACACCAACTTACTTATTCACCGGGATTTCTCAACCTTGGAAATTTTAAGGTGTGGACTTCAACTCCCAGAATTCCCCAGTCTGACTGGGAAATTCTGGGAGTTGAGTTCCACATGTTTTAAAGTTGCCAAGGTTTAGAAACACTGCACCAATCCTCAAAGATGAGGGTTATGCATTTCAGAATATGAAAAAAATATTATATTTTATTGCATTCAAATTTTAATTTTATCCCATGTTGGAAGAAATATCCATCTGGTTCAGTTCCAAGTGGGGAGAGACACTAGAAACATGGAGGCTGATTGGAAAGATGGTTTATTGATGAACAGGACCACATGAGGTCCTGGGCAGCTGACCACATGGAGTGGAGAGTGAGGGTTATTTATACCCTCTCTTGGGCCTTGCCCTTGAGCTTCCTTTTCCTGTGGTAAGAGCATGTATTCTGTTGGTTGCTGCCAGACTCCCATGGGGCTATGCAGGGGACATAGCTGATTTTGTAGGTTATCTGAGTCAAGCTTGGTTGAAGTTTGGGCTGCTGCAATGAAGGTTGTGCAGTTCCTATTGTGGCTGAATGACTTTTCCCTGAAGGATAATGCCATCATCCTGGAGCTGAAGGTCTTTTGATAGACTGGCCCAGTCTTTCTTAATGGCCACCAAATAGCTGTTGGAGGTAGGGAGTTTCTGTCTCCCTTAAGATTTCCATTTCTCTTTTAGGGGAAATATAATATTCTGCCTTTTTAAAACAATATTTCTCAAAATATTTCATACTTCCAGGAGGGGTGACTTTCCTCATCTATATTCAATTTACTCAATGTTTCCATGTTTTGACAAAGACAAAAATAGGCTCCCCCCCACCAAAAAAAAGGTTATTATTATTATTCCTAAGAAAAATCCCCAAGGACTGCAGGAAGTGTAATGCTAATGTTTCTATAAGATGTGGAATCAAAAGTGTACAGGCCCTTTTGCATTTTGGAGTGGATCATTAAGGCCAATTAAGTGCATTTGCACTTAGGCTTTCTTTCATCCAAGAAAGCATTCAGATGAAAATCACCTTGTTGCAATCAGTAGTATTATCTTTCTGTGTGCAGGAAAAAGTGGAGGGCAAATGTTGTTTTGGGTTTTTGTCTGGACGCCAAAAAATGTGGCTCAGATTTGAGAGGTGAAGGACAGCCTCATTTGAAGCTTGAAGATCAGATTTTTTGGGTGGAGGAATTTATGTTGCCATTTATTATATGAATTACTCTTGAGTTTCTTGGAGCTGGGTGAACTGCCTAAGTAACCTCCCATTTATAGTGTGATTATCATTGCCAGTTTCCCTCAGAGACTACAAAAACATAAAGGTGATTTTTTACAAGGCAGTATAACTCATCCAATTATTTTTGTGGATTGCAGGCAATAAAAATGTCACCATTAGAGCTTTTCTACTTTACTGCTACTGTTTGTTTCCTATTTGAGGATTAGAAATGATGACAAAAGGATAAAAACAGTGATGTTAAAATTCTGTCACAACAGAATTATTTTTTCTGACTAGAATGGAATCACAGCAATGGCTAAGAACATTGGTTTGAGGTTAGTTGCCGTGCATGATGTAGAAATGCCTTTCACATATTAAATAGAAGAATATAATTTTATGAGTAATTAATGCTGCCTGTTGAAGGTTCAAATAAACATCGAACAATGACTTGTAAAGTTAAAGATTCTGGAGATGGCAGCTACACAGCTTCTTTGAATGAAGTTTTCATATATAGTTATAGATACCCACTGCCCCTTTTAGATAGTAATCGGAGAGCCAATATACATCTGCACACCCATTAATACCGGACCCAGATAAACAGAAAAAACTTTAGGTTAATTTTAAGATATTTAAGATCTCTTATTCATAGGTGTCTGTGTATGGTTATAATGCTGCCGGTCATAGTTACTGTATATAAATTATTCTTGACTAAACCAAAATGTCAGCACCATTTTCTATTCTATAACACTTATAAATGTGTTTGAGATAAAGCAATTCTGTAACAATAAATACAATCATGTCCGTTTTGACAATATCCCTTCAGCTATTTTCCTTCAGATTTCTGTAATGAGGACTGTTATTAAGACTTGCTTTTAGGCAATGCTTAGTCAGAAATCTCCAAAGTTTTCATATTTCTTTATACCATTCTGGCTGTTCCCTATGAAAGTGTTACTCAGTTATGGATTTTGTTTTTGAATGAAACAACCTAATTTGAAGTAGAAACTCAGAGAGACCCCCCTACCTTTGCTAATGGGCCATTAAGGCCTGGTCCAGTCAATTCTACATAACAATGGTTTACCTTTTTCAAGCAGACTCATAATAGGAATCCCAAAGCCTTTTCATTACATCATCTTCCAGCAAGGCTCAACCAAGCCTGGGACTCAGGACAGCCTACAAAGTTGCCCCTGCATGGCCCCATGGGAGTCGGACAACCAATCAGAATATAAGCTCAAATTCAAATCCCAACAGTAGGCATAAAAACCCAGGGACTCTCAGCATCTCTTCCCTTTTTTTCACCCAGGAGCTTCCAGGCATGTGATCCTGTCCACCACTAAACCATCTTTTCAAGCAGTCACCATGTTTCTAGTGTCTTTTCCCCCACTTGGAACTGAACCCAGAAGGATATTTCTCCTGACAGTAGAAAAATTTACGTCTCTTCAGGATCTATAAAGCCATGGATAGAAATTTAAAGGAGATAAGATGTTGTATCACCCCCTGAAAGTCTCCCATAGTATTTGTAGTATCTGTAGAAAGGGACAAATAGGAGTATTTACTCTTCTTAAATGTTCATAACTAAGGTCTATAAGATCAGTGTATCTACATGAACTGCTGTCAGCATAGACACAATAATCATGAATGATAGTTCTCAGATTTTTTTTTTTGCCAACAATGTCTACCCGGTTTACATTGTCAACATCACTGGGCAAACTTTGTTTGCCTTCAAACTATTTCTGTCGATTCTCAATAACAGTCTCCAAATACCACCAATTAACACCGAATAACCCTCTAAACAACACTATTCAAGGAGTGTAAAATCTAAGTAGGAAATAGAAAAACCTGTATATCAGATGACAATAGAATTCTAACTAACCCAATGGGAGAGATAACTTAGACACATCAATTACAAGGACAAAGGTGTTAGCATTGGTTGAATGTGTACTTACAATCAAAGGACCCCTGTTGTTTTCACGGTATTTGTTCTGGAAGAAAATGTAAACTACGGTGGCTGCCAAGGAATAGAGGAAGGCAAAGACGGCAATAGTCACAAAGAATTCCGCAGAAGAGGAAAAGTCGCCTATTAGTGAAAGTTTTTCTCGTCTTCCTTCACAGGTGGGAGCATCAAAATTCACCTGGTACAACCTAACATTGAGAATAAGAAGAAAAGCGAGTTGGAATCAGAAAGCTGTTTAGTCCTCTGGATCAATCAGAACAAAGCTGGAAGGTACCTTAGAGGTCTTATAGTCCAACCCCCTGTTTAAGCAGGAAACCCTATTCAGACAAGTGGCTGTTAAAAACCTCCAGTGATGGAGCACCCACAACTTCTGAAGGCAAGTTGTTCCACTGGTTAATTGTTCTCACTATTAGGAAGTTCCTCCTTAATTCCAGGTTGATTAGTTTCCATCCATTGTTTGGATATACTTTCTAGAGCATTGAGGTACATTCCATGTGCACTTCAAATGTCCTTGATATAATGATGCCAAGGGTGAAATTCAAAATATTTCCCTACCGGCTCTGTGGGCGTGGCTTGGTGGGACGCAGTTTCTAAAAGGAAGAAGGCGGGCGTGAAGGTGAGAATCTCTAAAAGGAAAAAGGCAGGTGGCTATGGGCCCTTGGCCAACCAATTCAAATCGTCCCTACCACCTCTCTGAACCGATTCAAATCGTCCCTACCACCTCTCCCGAAGTAGTGCGAGGTGGATGAATTTCACCCCTGAATGATGCCCTTCCAAGTGTTATTCTATGAATCGGTATCTGCTACTTGCACATATACAAGAGGGTCAGCTCTTTAGCCAACTACAGCACAACATTTTAAAGGCTACTTCGAAGACCTTTCTTTCCAAGGTTGAATGCAGCCAACCAACTGGCCAAGTCAGAATGTAGCCAACCTACTGGTAAGGTCAGTTATTAAAGAGAATAACAAACACAAAACACAAACATTGCCTTGTTTGCCTCCGCATGTGGTGTTTGGCTCTATATGGCTCATTAGATCATGGATTGGATAAGATGGAATGCAACCCTAGCTTACATACACATAGGATCCCATTCTGCAATAAAAGGAAAAGGAGAACCATGCAATGCCAAAGTTGGGAGAGGTGTTTAGGCAACTGTATTCAAGCCTGTACTCACGGTAGGAATCCAAATTCAAGCATTTCTGCTGTAACTATTTTGAAATGTGTACGTTTCTAGGATCTAGGATTTTGAATTTGTGGAGCCCAAGGAAATGGATAAGGTCCTCTGTAGTTTGAATTCTGCCATTCATTCCATGTTCCCCTTGGTTTCTTTAAATGGAGAGAAGTAGTTCTGTGAACTTATCAACATCTCTTTAAAGGGTAGCATAATGCCTCTTGCTTTAAAACAGGTGGTGATGTGCCTTCTCCTGAATAAATTGTACATGGCTGATTCTGATACCTTTTACACACTTTCTCATCTTTTTGTCCTTGCAAAAAATGATGGAGAAATATTGAAGATTGTAGATTAAATCTTCAATCTACAGATTGCCTCCGGTCAAAGATCATCATGAATGTGTCCCTTTTGGCTGTTAGCTCTATTAGCAATATTGGAAATTGTTCATGATGGGATCCTTCTGGATAGTCTAAAAGGCCTGAGAGTTGGGGTACAGTATTATGGAAATTCTACTCCAGTGGTTTTATAGTAGATCGGTGGGTGGTTTCAGTCAGTGGTCATGAAGGGTCAGTATTCAAACATTTGGGAATTCCATAGTGGGATGGCTCAATGCTCAATGTTTTCCCCCATTTATATGCTAAGGCATGCCAATTAGACAGTTTGGGGTGAAATGTCTTCTCACAATATCCATTTAGATATCACTTTTGGATTAAACCAGATAGGTGTAGAAGACCTCAACTCGTGTCTAAACATTATAACTGGTGCTTAGATTTTTATGATATGATATTACATTATTTATATTTATTTTAATTTTTGTGTTGACTTTTGTTGTATTCCACCCCAAAGTAGTCAATATTGAGCTGGGTTACAAATTTTGTAAAATGGATACAAACAAATAGGTGCCAAGGTGACACTTAAACACTGGGTAACTTGTTCCCCTGTCAAGCTACTGTGGCTCCTTTTTCAAACCTTCCATTAGAAACCGCTTTTCTATAACTTGAATCCATCATATCACAACTTGCACTCTGAAATGATGAGTATACCATCTGTGATTTGTATGATAGTCTCAAAGGCTTCTGAGCCAAACATATTTTTCTCTCTGTTGCATTTGTGCTCTGTTTTGTACTAAGACTTCACTAGGCCGAAATGCCATGACTTATGCACTTGCATTAGACAATATAAAGTATTATGCAATGGCATCATTGCTGTTGGTTATGGATATCATTGATCAGATGCTGCAGGCTTTTGGAATTTTTTGAGGGAATTTAGGATTGTTTACACTTCCAAAAAACCATCCCACTCTTTTCTACACTAAGTGGAAGCTTGCAAAAAAGTTCTACAGATGATGCTTTATTAAGACCTAGATTCGAACTCAACATTATACTGCTAAAACTCTTGTGTCTGTAACCTCTAACTGGGCAAAATAGTACATTGTAGGGAAACAATTTTGAACCAAAATACCTCAAATGGGCTAAGATACAGAATGCATCCAAAATCCAGAACCTATGACTCCTCTAGACTTGAAATCTGGCAAAGTTTATTAAACATTTTATGACATAAAAATGATCCTAAAACATTTTATGATGTAATAAAAGGTAAAGGTAAAGGTTCCCCTCACACATACGTGCTAGTCGTTTCCGGCTCTAGGGGGTGGTGCTCATCTTCGTTACAAAGCCGAAGAGCCAGCGCTATCTGAAGACGTCTCCGTGGTCAAGTGGCCGGCATGACTAAATGCCGAAGGCGCATGGAACACTGTTACGTTCCTACCAAAGTAGTCCCTATTTTTCTACTTGCATTTTTACATGCTTTTGAACTGCTAGGTTGGCAGAAGCTGGGACAAGTAACAGGAGTTCACTCTGTTACGAAGTGCTAGGGATTCGAACCGATTTTCAAGAACTTTTCCACGAAAGACAGTGCATTAAAAGACCTGCTGTTGTTGAAGGCATCCAGGAATCTGGTAAAGACGTATCTCTGAAACAATGACCCAATGGGACATGGGTAGTACTGCTCTCAAAACCACTGTAGCTGAATTAAACAAAACTCTTAATGGCTTTGTATAATGTACGATTCTAGCCAGAGTTCACTAACTTACCATTATTTCTCTATAAAAGCAAGAAACAAAAGAATTCAGAAGGATAAGACTCATCAAATAAACCACAAACACAATTCACCCAAAGTATTTATTTCCTGTATCCACTCATATTTCAGCTTAAACTCATTTGGTTCTCGGGACCCTCTGTATCTCTAAATATTGCATACACATAGACACTTTTATGTGTGTATATTTGTATATGTATGTATAATGCAGGTGTGTCTGTGTGTATAGTCAGAACTCTACGTACCTTTTTTATCATATCAAAAATACTTCTGCCATTTATTCCCTAATGTTATTATAAACAGATTATTTGCACAGATGGCTTTTTGATTGATTTAAGGAATTATTTTATTTGCTACATCATTTATTGCTTTCCACTACTGTGCTTTGTTGCCAATCATCTTGAGGGTGCCATGGCAATTGAGGAAATGAAGTGCAGTGATGATGGATGGATGGATGATGGATCATCAACTCATTGTTGACTCTTTGCAACCGCACAGACAACACAGAGCTGATATTAAAAAGTAGCACCGCTGGAATTACTTTGATGGCTACTATTACTATTGTCCCTTGTCTTCCTCCTTCCCTAAGCAAATCATACGTCTGTGAAGATTCTTGGCTTTTTAAAACCCCTGAAGTCTTAGAAATGAAGGAGCAGATGAAGGATAAAAGAGAGAGTCATCCAGCACTTTGGTGACACAAATTACCAAAAAGGAGCTGAAGCAATAGTAGCCCTGAATCATCTAGGGAACATTTTTAGCATCAAGAGTAAGTACCATGTCATTCTAAAAGTCACAGGAAATTGCTGCTCTGAATATATAATTTTCTGCTGACATAAAAGCTTGTTAAATAGGACTGCTTCCTCCATATGCAACCCTGTGTAGCTTTTTTGCTATCACCTCACTATTTAGATCCCCATGAAATTTCAAACAGCTGTTACTCCAACCACCTTATGAATTTGAGTTGGTTATTAGGCTGCTATTCTGAGTTGGTTCAATTCACTGTTTTATTCTCCACAACAGCCACTGAGTAGAGGGCGGCAAATATGTAAATTGACACATAGCTTTATTCAGAAAGTTGAAAAAGGTTTGAGAGAAGTGACTGAATTTACTTTACTACAATGTATGTGCCACTCAATCTAACAAAAGCAGGCAATGCACCGTTACAAAGAAAACAATGTTCCTCACAAAATAGAGCAACAGCTACACCATCTAATTCACAGCAGGATGATCCCTCTCACCACCAATCTGTCCCATGACTCTCTGAAAAGCCAGGTTTTGATGGCTTGCTAAAATATTTAAAAAAGATATATAAAAGGGCAGAATCTAATCTCAGGAGGAATTGTGTTCCAAAGAACAGGGAATTATCTCTGTGGTCCATAAAGAAGAAGCGCTTTAGGAGACAGGACCTAGATAAAGTCCCTTCCCTAATCTTATTTTGTGGGCAGAAGCTGAAATGAGAAAGTTGTCCCATATATATCCAGATGTTAAGCCATGTCAGACTTTAAAGGTGGCAACTATCACCTTGAACTATTCCAAGGAAGGAAACTGGTAACCAGTGCAGCTCTCACAATATAGATATGTGTCAATCCCAATGTAGTTGGCAAATCCAAAGAAACAAAAATGATACAGATTTCAGGAAGGTATCCTTCATATTAGTCTGGAGTAAAAATAATAACCTTGAAAACTGTAAGACTAAAGTCCCAGTCTCAATTATACTGTCTCCTTGAAACAGATTCTTTTCATACCTTTTATATCTGGACTTCATTGCCTCTTCTTGGGTAACTAAAAATGTCATCCCCTGCATTTCTACTATCTCTTCACAGTGTTACATGGGAAAACATAGAAGATTCCATCACTAGAAGAGCTTGCACTGATGCTGTTACCCAGTATGAGCCATGGTGGCTCAGTGGTTAGAATGCA